TGCTGCCCCATCACCCTATGAAGATGATCAGCATCAGCTGATTAAACACACCAGTACTTGGCGAGCGCTCTGTTTCTCTGTATTTCTTGGAGTTGTTTTCCACGGCCGCTGTACCAAATTACCGCAAGTCCGTGGTTGAAAACGACACGAACTTGTTTTCACATTTCTGTAGGTTTAGCAATCCAACACAAGTTCCGTTGGGCTAAAATTAAGGTGTTGACAGGTGTTCCATTCCGGAGGGTCGAGGGGAAATCCATTTCCTTGCCTTTTGGAGCTTCTAAAGGCTGCCCACGTTCCTTGGCTCATGGCTCCCGCCGTCGGTCGTCAAAGCCAGCAATGCTGCATCCGTCTGAAAAGGACATGTGAAGCCGAATTCTGTGCATTCAGAAATGGTGGAGGCTCTTTGTAAAGTTAGCAATCTATGGGGAACCCCTGACCCTCGTGGTGGACTGCTTTTAAAGGGGGGGGGCGGCATGTATGTTTAGAAACAATAGCCCTTTCACCAACAGCTCCCCAAGACCTGGTGGACAGACACGGTTCACAGACTCAGAAGGGAGAGAAGTAGGCCCATCAGGCACCAAGCCTGCTACCACCTACGTGCTGGGCCTGACAGAGTATTTCTTCTCCACTGAGCTGCCTTTAAAGAAGAGACACTTGTTTTTGGGATCCCAGTCAGGGGCTTTCTATGGGAACGCCTATTGCTGTCGGTTCAGTTCTGCCTCTTCAACTCCCCACCCTGTTTTGAATCATTATGAAATAGCACTCTTATTCCTCAAAAGTACAATACAATGTAAGTGGAAAGAAATCTTTGAAAGTGCATTTGCATTTGTATTTGTAACATGTGTAATAAGGCACCTGTATTAGAACCTTACCAAATGATCCTGTTCGGGCCTAAATTTCATCCTTGGCCTCGCTCTAAAGGAAAGGCTTCCTATGAAAATTGACAAACAGATGCTAGGGGGCCTGAGGAACCTGCTTAAGAGAATAGACTGTTTTGAAATACTTGAGTAACACCAATTTGGAAAAAAAAATTATGCCAATTAAGAGGCTTTTATTTTGTAAAGCAGATGCAATCAGCTATTTTTCAGTATATTGTTAGTAGAGTTTTGCACCTTATCCACTTGGGAATAATTGCAATGAGTTTGCTTGAAGATATTCTATATTTTCACCTTGTTAGCTCGAATTACTGAGATTTTGCCGTATTTAGTCATTTTTAGGGGGAATGTTTTCGGTGAAGTTTTCTTTTTTTGCTTACACTGTAGACTGTTCTTCTGAGTGGAGAATGGCTGCTGAGTGTGCCAAAAAGTACAAAAGACTTCAGCAGGAAGACACTATTTACGATCATTTGAAATTCTCCATCCCTAGAAAATTCTCAAATTAGGCTTATGAAGGCAATCCGATTTAGTTAACTGCTAACTGGAGAAAGCAAAAGCTTATTGGCGGGACTGGCATTTGGACTTCTCTTGTCCTGGGTTCCCACCTCCCCTTAGCAGCAACACGCCTCCCGTGGCCCATGTAACACTCCTCACGGGGCCCTTCTACCAGGCGTGGCACCCAAACAGTGCTCTCGTGAGGCCCTGTCAGCCTTAGTGGCAATTAGTGACGGTTCTTGCTGGTCCCTCCACATAAAAGGTGCCAAATCTAAGATCAGATGTGATTATGATGGTTCACATGCCTTTGCTTTCTCACACACGATAAGGACCCTAATGTCTTAGACGTTTTCTATACGGCAGTGAAGTTAGTAGGAAAAGTGAGTGCTTTCATCAACTGAGGGCTTCTGTGAGGTGATTTCAGGTTGAGTAGGGGATGGACGTGGAACTGGGGATGTGTGTCTCTGGGTTTGTAGGTCTCTTTTTTTTTCTCTGACCCCTCAGGACTCTTGTTCCTGTTTGTGTACTTATAATCAGCATTCCTTGGCTTCCGAAATCACTGGTGTCATTTCAGCTTTTTTGGTTCAGCAGAAACTTCACCATTGCTTAAAGTTTTTTTTTCTCTTTGCAGTTAGAACTGTTTCACAAAGCCGTATGGTGCCACCAAGCCTCCAGGAAGAATGCAGAGATTTCATAATGTAAAAGGAATCACTCACTCAAGAAAGCCCTGGTAAAGCTAATGTAATGAGCTGAGGATTTCTCTAGAGATCTGCTGCCTATTTGATGACAACAGGACACGTTGTTTTAAACAAGGAGGTTTAAAACCTCCAGTGGAGGTACGTTATTAAGTTACAGGATTTTTACTTCTCTCTACATTGCTCAATCAACAGTGGCTGTGGCTAGGTTTTTTTGTTTTTGTTTTTTGTTTTTTTTCAGTGCAGTGAAACCTGCTTCCAAAGCATCCTCCCAGGCCAGGCCTTCTGCTTTAGGTCCCTGTGGAGAGGTTCCAAGGTTTAAAGCAATTCTCAAACTTATTCAGGAAGCAGAACTATTGGAAATCACAGTTTGTTTTTTTTTTTCCAAGCGTGATGAAAAAATACTGGCTTCCTGAGCCCAAAATAACCAATCAGAAAAGTCAGTATAAGTCAAACAGAATCTTTGAATAAACTCTGAGATCTATAGTGTTGGTAGCAGCAGCAAAATTTAAGAAAAATTTAGAATATAAAAGATGATCACTGATAAATTTCTATTCATTGTTTTAGAAAAACTTCTCTGGTTGCCTAGGAAAAGACTGCCATTTTTCAGTTTTATTGGTGGAATACCCAGGCTGACTTTCGGAAACATCCGTGTTCCAGTGGGGCGTAATTTCACAGTTACTGGTATAAAACTGTATCAGCCGCGCAGTGCTCTAGAAAGAGTTGATAATAGCATGTGATTATGACCTTGAACACGGTATTCAGAGTTTACTCTAACAGCTGGCTGACAGTTGAGGCACAAGGAAATCTAATGCTACATTCGTTATGTGTGATTTCATTCATGGCTTATGGGAGAAGGGATTGGCATCTAGACCCGAGACACTCTCTCCAGGGTCACTGCACGGTCGGTGAGGAGCTGGCATGTCACCGTGTGCTGCCAGCACGCTTATCCCATGCTTAGAGAACGGCATCGCTGCTCACTGAAACGGGAGAGATGGTCACTAAGGCTGTGTCGCTTAAGAAGGAATATATACCGAACCAGAGGGGAAAGGGCTACTTATTTAGAGAAGTTCACCATCAAATCACTGGACAGGAGAAACAATTCATGGGGAAAGTCAACACTTAACTACAATCAAAAGGGAGCCCATTGTAATTTGCTGATTTCTCTAGGCACTCTCAGTGTGGTGTTGAGCAAAACTCCCTCAAACATCTTCTACTGGATAGGCAGCCACGATTGCGAAAAATTCCTCTTTTTGTTGCTGTTGTCAACACCTCTTTCCACGGTTTTCTGAATTATATTTAAGCCTGATACAGTGTATCTGATGTTAGCACTCACCCAATTTAGCATTAATTTCTCTGGATGGAAATATGAGCCATATGTTTATGTTAGTAATAGCAGCACTACGCATTTGATCATTTCTGAGCTGACTGATTTTTTTTTTTTTTTCATCTCAAAGAGGCAGTTCTGGGAGTTTGTATTCATTTTTGAAGCATCAGCCGCTTTCAGTACAGAGGCCACACGAGTTTCCTAATCTTATTTTTTTTTAAAGATTTTATTTATTTATTTGACAGAGAGAGACACAGCGAGAGAGGGAACACAAGCAGGGGGAGTGGGAGAGGGAGAAGCAGGCTCCCCGCAGAGCAGGGAGCACGATGTGGGACTCGATCCCAGGACCCTGGGATCATGACCTGAGCCGAAGGCAGACGCTTAACGACTGAGCCACCCAGGAGCCCCTACTAATCTTATTTTATTTAATTTCTCGACTGGTCTGACTCTGATTAGAGGTTCAAATAAAATTATGATTCTTCTATGCCTTGATTATGTTAAAGCATTTCTGTCTCTCTCCTGAAACAGCAGAAACTGCATGAAAATTAATTGTTACAAAGTTGTAGCAGAAAAACTAGTATTCTTTGAGGTAGCCACTTTGAGGTGGCTCTATTACTAGATTTCCAGATGGCTGAGATTTTTTTTTTTAATATACTCAACCTCACTTCATAAAAACATTTTCACAAGGGTACAGAAATCCAACCAGGAAGCGCCTCTTTCCAAGCACGCTCGTATGCACATAAACAGCTTCGATTTGGGGAGCCAGCAGGGGGCGTGTAAAACAAAATGAGTAAAAAAAAAAAAAAAAAAAGGTTGCACATAGAGTGATTTTAATCCATTCCATTTTTAAATACCACAATAAATTTAATTTTCACAATAAATTAAATAGCCATATTCAGTTTACAAAATAGAATTACTTAGTGTGAAACCAGTATTTACAACAATATACATTATGTACATGACATTTCTCTCTGTTGACACAGAACACGGAAGTAAAAGGACTTTAAACTTTCCAATGTGTGATTGACATGCTACAAGTACCATGGTCTATACGAGAAAACAATAGTGCAAAATCACCACAGGAACTTTGGGACAATGTCAATTTTATGAGATACGACATTCTTTCGAATAATAAGAAAATAGTATTTTCTGTTTCCACGGCACCAATTCAGGAGCTGAATTAAAGAGCCAGCTTTCCCTTAGAAAAGAATGCATAACTGAATCCTCTACTTCCTGAAGCTTCACAGCCATTGGTACGTTTTCACACATCATCTTTTGGCTTAACTCTATGAAAATGGCGGGCGACAAATTCTGACTCAAAGGAAGACTAAACTCTTTGAGAATAGCTGAAGTCACTTTCCCCCAATACCACCACCTTTTCTTTTTGTAAATATCTTAAAAGATGCAACTACTCGGACAGTGAATTATTTTTTTGTAACTTTTCAATAGAAAAAGAATTGATCTTATATTTGGTCACACAGTGTGTATGTACAAGTATACATGGAAAAATGACTTGGATAGTTGTGTCTAAGAAAAGTGCATATTTTAATCTAGAGGAGACATTGTGTGTCTCCAGCCACAACACATAGTGTTATATGACTTATTATTTTAGGGCCAGTTCAATGTCCTCCCAGTGATCTGGTAAAATTTTTGATTGAAAGGGTGAAAAAATTTGCGCAATTTGGTAATGACAGAGGGGTCCACCTCTGGATGAATGCGCCCCTTGCTGCCCGCCAGGCACTTATTAAAGATAATGTTAAATCGCAAGCAGTAAAACCCTCTGGTAGCATTGAAATATAAATTGTACTGACTTATCCTAGGGGGAAGATTTAGGAACTTCTCCACGAGCTGAAGTTCTGGCAGAGGTTCCGTGATGAGGCGATCTCCATCGACAATGTGAAACTGCTCAATCGGAAAGTATTTTAACCACCTTTCCAGATGTTTGGTGTAGATGCTGGTTCTTACTGCCTTGTACTTTGTGTTCACTTCGCAGGTATTAGGATCTATTGCCAGCTTCTCAAACTTGTAGTAAGTTTTATTCTTCCTCTCCTTCCCCTCTAGCACCTGAGTGTAATCAGAAATAGCTCTTGTGGTTGGCTCCCTGACAATGATCAACAACTTGATGGATGAGTTCATCTTGTAAATCCTTTCCGGAACCTCCTCCGTGATAAAATATGCCGGGCTCTTTTCAATTGTGATTTGCTGTGGGTAGGAAAAAGGCATCTTTTTCCTGTACCACTCAATGCCTTTGGCATAATTCTCATCATTGTCAAAAAAGTGGATTTCTTGAGAGGCTTTGACCACAGCTGGATGGAGGTTCAGCATCTCAAGCAGGGCCCTGGTGCCCCCTTTCCTCACCCCAATGATAATGGCCTTGGGGAGCTGCTGGACCAGGTCATGAAGGCGAACCTGATCCTTGGAAGCGTTGCCTTTCCGGAACTCGTGCAGCAGGCCACGTTTAAACTGCAGGGCACGGAGAGGGAACTCAGCCTGGCCGCGGGCTCCGAATCGGCCTTCGATGGGGCAAATGGGCTGTAGCCTGAAAGCAACAGAAAGTGGCTTTTAGAAGCTCCTGGCGACTAACTTGTCATTTTTCTGCTTCCCTAGTTGGAGTAAGACTTTAGATGCATAAATAAAACCTCTGGTTCCCAGCCTGCTGCAATCCCTAATGAACATGTTTGGGAAATTTTATTTTAAGCAACCCTGTATTTAATGGAGCACACATAATTGATGGGATTATTTTTATTAGGGCTCCTTAAAATTTTTATTCGCCAAGCACTTAATTGACTACAGCGTGCACTTATGTTCGCAATACAGGACAGACAAGTGACACCAGCCGTACTAATAGCCTTTTAACAGCTCACCAGTTAACATCATTTAGAAAACTCGAAAGGCAGAAGATGACCATTTTCAGCTGGGAGGCCGAAGCCTGTCTAGGAGGCCACGTCTTTTGGGTTTCGTGGGGTAGTATTTTCTTGCAGCTCAGTAGCACTCACGTGGCACTTAGAACTCTCTAAGATCTAATTTGAGTAGAGGTCCTAGTCTCTGCCCATGGCTAGTTGTATCAACAACCTGCAAAAATCCAATCTTGGCACTTGCTGAGCTTTTCGTTCTATCAGAAGTTCTGCCATTGGCCTTGGGGACAGCTAGGCGAATACTATATTTCTTCTGCCTCTCTCTCTCTCTCTCTTTCTTTCTGTCTGAAGAGGTCGAGATTATGTTTTTACTTTGCTGAATGTAGGAACAAATCCAGCGCCATCGGCAAATGCTGTCTATCACCTCCCACGCCTGGGAGCAGAAATCAACCAGACCTTGGCAGAGCCAGAAGCTTTGGGTTCTCACTGCCAAGCCCATGGATATCAGGGACTCAAGTGCAGGAAGGAAGACGTGCAACGGATGGAGCCAGAAAGGAGGATTTCCACTTCAGCATTGCCCTAAATAACCACCACCACTGCTTTTTTTCAGAGAGAAAGGCGTGGTAATAATCATAATGATATCAGACTAGAGTTACTGCTTGATTTGGCACGACCAATGTCTATGGGTGGCATATGGAGTTTCCTTTTGGGTTAACAGTCTGGAACCTAACTGAAATTTATTCTAACTTCCCTAAGTTTATCTGAAAAGGCATTTTAGCCTTCTTGCTAAAGGGTATAAGACTAGTCAAAATGGCTGTTAAGCCAATCCTCCAACTGAAGCTTCTAGCTATCCTAATTATTTGGTGTCTATGTTCCCCCCTCTGTGGCAATGAGGCTGTCTCTTGCCTTTCCCAAGAGACCCTATTGTACCATTCTCATCTTCTGTAATGTTTATAATTAAAGGAAGAGGGAAACTTTGTCATGCCACGGCATTCTACAGAACTGAGGGAAAAGAGTTTGCCTGTCTGTTTAAACGTCTATCATAATGCTTATGGAAAACTATACTCATATATTATTTGTCTGTGGTGTTTTTGTTTTTTATGATTTTAGAAGCAACTCATGCTCATTGTGGAAAACATGAAAATACGGAATAGTATAAAAATAATGGGGTTCACATTTAATGTCTTAGGGAAACATGAATTTTGTTTTTATAAATTTGTTAACAAGATTAATATGCTAGAGCTCTATGTGGAAGATATAAAAGCAGCAACACATACATAGTCAAAGATATTTTTAATTGTGACATTGATGGGGATAGCACAAATTCATCTTTTAGCTCTTCTTGGGTTCTGGTTGAGAATTAGGCCCTAATTCCCTACAGCATCCGTGGAATGTAACGGATGGACTTCTCTCCAATGCATCCAGAACATTCCTTTTCTGTAAGGACTTAATTCTCTTGCAGAACTCTGGTCAAGAGAGCCTGAAACAGACCATCTCTGTCCTGTTAGAGCAGGAAAGAATTTCCCTACTTCTAGAGAGGGCTGTTCCTTCTTTCCTTCCTTCCTCTTTCTATCTTCCACCTTGGCAGCTCATACCCTGCAGAACAACTGCTTTTTTGACTTCCTAACTCATGATAGGAGAAAATATATTATTTCTATTTCCCGAAGAGTAGATGCTGAGCATGGGCCTCAGACATGGGAAAAAACATGGAATCTTAGGACTGGAAGGGACAGTTCAGCCCCCCACCCAGAGAGCAGGGTCTTCAGTTACTAAAGGATAGACCTAAGTAAGTATGTGTCAATTTCAGACATAATTTTGTTCAAACTCTCAAATTAGAGGTTTTGGGAAAGCCGAAAAGCTGTCCCATTAGAGACCAGACACCAAGTTGAAAATGAAAAGAATCACTGACTAAATAACTACTATGTTAATGATCACTGGATCAACCACTCAATAAAAATGAAATGATTGGAAGCTAACTGAAGGTATTGGGAAGAACTTGACATAAAAGTTCCATCAGGGACAGGACAATGGTGCCCACCTCAAGGCTATTCATTAATAACTAAGTACCACTTTAGGGAACTACTTGAAGTCAGTGACAAGCTCTGGCTTATACCATTTCCCATAGTTAGCAACCAGTGAGTGGGAAGTTCACTTAGGAATTTTTGAATTGAAAAGCATCAGAGGGGTTCACTTTACTAGTCAAAACTAACACTGGCTGAAGGAAAATAAAAACCACTGCAATATTATTTATTAAATAACCTAGTGATAAAACCTATAGATTAGAAAAGGAAAATTGTAAGGAAGATATTTTAAGTGTGGCTGCATTTTCATGGAAAACGGGAAGTGAATTCATAGAGAACATATTTCTATCTTTCCAGTGCAAGAATTGATTTTTAAAGGGCAAAGAAGGGAGCTTCTCATTTCAGAAATTAACTTCTTGTCTTTTCCAATCATACCAAATGTGGGAAAGTCCAGAGGTACTCAATGTGAAGCCAGCTGATATTTGGGGGGACTTCTGCAAGTCTAGTTAGTACCTCTCAACGGTTTGCTTATTTAGAGCCAAGTGCTAGTTCTGTAAATTTCCTCTCCCTGGATTTTTCCATTGTTTTCTGGGCAATTACTCTGAGTGACAGCCTCCTCATCTGGTCCTTTCAGCTCCTGGAAAAGAGACCTAATTTACATGGTTAAAACTCCCCAAGCCTGCAGCCATCTTTCTAAGGCAATGGATTCCAACTTGATGAGCTCCTTTCCAGGCTCATACATAATTTTAACTCTCACAGTAGCACATTCATTGCTCACTCATAAATTTCAAAATGAAGATAAATAGATACAGCATCACTATTTTGCGATGGCTAGAGGTCGACAACCAGATGCACACAGACCACACTGAGCTCTAGTAAAGGACATTTTTAACGTACATGGCTTTATCCCTTCTCTGAAAACAAATGTCAACGCACACAGAATACAAATGGATCTTGATGAACACCTTGGTTTGAGCAACTTGGAGCTCTTTCTTTTAAAGGCTCAATAAATCAAAACCAATACTGCAGAAAAGCATGTTTCTTGGGAATTTTGAGAGAGGAAAACAAATGGATAGGTTTAGGATTATGTCCTAAGGAAGTTTAAATCAAGAGACACTTGAAGTCACACAGGCATAAGTATGTGTTGAATTACCTACCTATCCAAGCTCCCAACTCTGGCGACTAGATACAGCAGACTCCCAACCGCAAGGCTTCCCAGCACCAGGAGCTTCTGTCTCAGCCACGCCTGCTGTTTGAATAGCATGGCCCTCCATCAACCTTCAGGACTTCTGCAGCCTGAGAGACAGGGAGAGAAGGGGACTCATCAGCAGGCGTCTCCAATAGGCTCTGTGGTTTGTCACAAAGCCACGGAGGGAGAGGACAGGCGATTAAGTGATACTTCATGGAGAAAAGATCCCATACTGACCTTGACAATGTTCAGGGTGTAAGAGGTATTTACCCAAACTTGCCTTCCTTTTCCTGGCCCACGTTATAAGATCAAATACTAAACTAGGGGGAAGCTACTAACTAGACAGAACCTGCTGGGCAATTGTCAAAGTGAACTAATGCATATATTATAACATATATATACCCTGTGTGTGTACATACATATATTTGTTGTTATCGTTAGTCATTCAAAGAACACTGATAAAATGAGCAGCCGAGTAACCTGAGGTTTGCCAGTAGGGCAAACAATAAACTGAAGGTTCTGCTCCAGAATAACCAGACAAATGTAGAAATTCCTGTTCAGTAAGTGATCATTTGGGGCATAGCAATGACATATTTTACTTGCATGTTTTTTTGTTTTGTTTTGTTCTAATTGTGAAGGGGGTGAGATCAAAAGCTAGTTCTTTATTCCCCGAAGTCATCAGTGGTAACTATCAGGACCTCAGATATTGGAGGCCAGTGGCTCCAAGTAACCTGATGTTGCCCTTCGCCTCCTCTGCCCGGTCCTGGACTGGACTGACTGATTTTTGGACACATGCTCAGACTAGATTCCCCTGCTGTGTGACCCCCTTCTGGCTCTCAATGAATTCACGCAGATTTGGTGATATGGGTCTCATTCTTCTGTCATGACAGAAGCTTACCGGGAAGCCTTGTGCTCTTATTCTTGAAATAAGGCTGGTTGAGGAGTGTAAGGCTTTATGAGTGCTATTATTAAATTTGGGGGGAAAATGCAAGCTTTCAATTCAGCCTTTCTTATTAAAAGTAAATCCAATCTCCCTTTCAAGATAAGATGGTTTGTTTCTTATTGAAACTCAAAATAGTAACCCGAGAAGAGGGACTCCAGCAGTGGGCCATGGGTAGAAATTGTTTTCTTGCAATGGTATTTCCATGTTTGCTATGTGGAAAGGGATATACCAGGACTGATTGACTGGTCTATTCATTTGCTCAGCAAGAGATTACTGAGCACCAAGAACATTTCCAGCTATTCTATTAGGTTTATGGGGGATTCCGAAAAAGATCCTGAAAGAGTTTTAGCCCTTGGAAAACTAATAAGGGGAGAAGTAACTGCAAAACAACCAGAGAATGCAACCTAATGATAATGTATAAATAAATGTTGACGGAAAAAATGAAGAAACGGTCGGGGATGTGAGCTCCATGGGAATGATTTGTGGAATGTAGTACATGACCTGGGGAGGAGGGTTTAGGAAGAAATCCCAAAGGAGAGGAGGTTAGAGCAGTATTTATCCAACACACAGTCAACAAATATTTACGGAACATGCCTTATGTGCTAGATTCTCTACCAGGTGCTAAAGAGACAGTGGCCAACTGAGAGTCTGTGGTCTAGTGGAGAAGACAGATATTAAACCAGTAAACATAGGATTCACATACACTTACAAATTGTAATACCAAAGGAAAATTACAGGATACAGTGAGAAAGAATAACGGGAGGAAGCTATTCAGTCTTGCCTGGAGGAGTGACACTTGGTCTGACAGCTGAGGATGAGAAGCAAGGAGGACTGGACTAGGGCAGAGTGGGTTTCAGGCAGAGGAGACCTCATGCACAAAAATACCGAGGGGGAAGAAGGCTTGGCTAGTTTGAGAAGCGAAGGAAGGCTGGCGTGGCTGGACACAGGAATTGAGGGGGAGAGAGGAAAGGCTAGGAGCCAAAGCAGAGAGGAGGCAATAGGAAATGGGTCTTTGCAGGCACTGGGTGAGCCTGTGCGTCTGACTGAGACATCTTGCATTGTGTGTAGGTAAAATGGGGAAAGAAAAAAAAGAGGTATTTCAGGAAATTCTCAGAAAACCCTATGAAATTTTTTCCTTTATGAACAGGTAAAGCGAAGCTCAGGCAATTTTCTCCAACTTGCCTGTGATTACACGACTGGCAGAGGTAAAGTGAAGGCAAAGGCAGTAACTTGTGTCGTGTGATTCAGGGCTGCCCCGAAAGAGTCAATTTTGTGTGTCTCAAGGTTAATGTCTAATGTCGAAGTCCACAGTTGGAGCCACAGGCCTTTAGCACGGGGCTCTGATCCCTGTTGAAATGCAAATACTGCAGCAATAGGGTGGAGAAAAGAAAGCTGTGTTCAAGTCCCCTAATCACAGGCGCCTCTTAGTAGCTCTGTGATCTTTGGTGTGGCTGCCCAGATTCTCAGGGCCTCTCTTTCTCTATCTATAAAATGGGGACAGTCTCTGACCTCCCTACTCCGTAGGCCCACAGCGAGAATGAAGTAAGGTTTCTACTAGGAGCATCACTCGACACAGATTTATTGATATGATGCTAACATAAGGGATTATATGTCATCTTTTGTTAATGTGAACGAATTCCATGTGTATTCACAGAGTGAGAGAGCAAGAGCTATTATGTAGTTGAAGAGGGCCAGCTACAAATGGGACAGATGAGAAGAGTCAAGGTAGGGGCGCCTGGGTGGCTTAGTCGATAAGCGTCTGCCTTTGGCTCAGGTCATGGTCCCAGGGTCCTGGGATCGAGCCCCACATTGGGCTCCTTGCTCAGCGGCGAGTCTGCTTCTCCCTCTCCCACTCCCCCTGCTTGTGTTCCCTCTCTCGCTGTGTCTCTCTCTGTATCAAATAAATAAAATCTTAAAAAAAAAAAAAGAAAAAAAAAGAGTCAAGGTAAAAGTGCTTGTCCCATGGCCTTAGGGAGGGTCAGCAGCCTCATACAGAGGAGCAACCTGGAGGGAGGTTGGGGAAGTCACCTGGTCTCCTCCACCATCGAAACGGAGTGCCCACGCTCTGCTGCTTCAGACTCTACCGCACAGTGCTTTGTCCACTTTCCCCAGCTCACTGGCGCCCTGGTCTGTCTCTAGCTATACGTCACTTTCTGTAAGGCCGGGGCTACATCCCAAATCCCGGAGGGAAGGCCTCTCGGGCTGATGGCCCAATACAGTCATCTCCGACCGACCGCCTCTGCGTTCCTGTGGTCCGTGTAGTCACAGGCACAGTGAGGCCCTCCACTGCTGCAAGTTCTGGATTGGTGTCAGCAGCTGCCTTTGTGTGTGGGAATCACCACATCGCCCAGCAATGGGCTAACCCTGCTCGCTGGCTCAGAAGTACCAGAAAGCTACCTGAAGGGTGGTGAGCCCAGAATCTCTCTGCTTGCTGCATAGGCTCGGGGTTCTCTATCGTGAGCTTGCAGAAACTTTAGAAAATGCACACCTACCACCACCTTCAGAGATTCCAATTTAATAAAGGGTCTGAATTAATCTTGCATCGTGGTTTTTGTTTTTGTTTTTACAGTGGAGTGAATGACACATAAACCTTAGTCAAAGTCATTTTCTACTGTCTTTTTTTTTTTTCTCTTGAGTAACCAAGTTCAGTAAACTCTTTCTCCTTAATTTCTTCTTGCCTTGTGTTGTGGAGGCACTTAATGCCTCCCTTATTTCTTAGCATCTGGGCATGTTCTCCTTGTGCATTTCCTATGGCCTGTATAGTCTGATTATTCTTCCTCATACAAGATATTCTGTCCCTCATCTGTTTTTTGGTTATTCGCTGGATCAAGTCCGATCTCTTCTTGAAAGTGTGCGCCCTTCCCTCCGAGGGCCCAGCTTGGACGGTCAGCCTCCCTTCTTGTTACTCCCCAACATCAGCCTCTGTGCCCTTCCGGTCAGCTGCTTTACTGCTTTTCATACCTCCTCACTCTCATCTCTATGCTTCCACCAGCTTCCTCACTGGCCCAGAATGGCTTTCCTGCATTTCCTCCTTCAAGACTCCTGGATCCTGTTAATAACTTCCTGGAGAGGGTGATCCTGGTGGATGGGCAATTTGGGGGGAAATCCCAATATACTGCCCATTAGTGGGTGGGAGTGGGTCAGGTCCATTGTGTAGATAATTAGAGGAATGACGGGTGATCACTGGGCTTGGGGATAACATGGGGAAGACATTTGCATGTAGGGGGAAAATGACCGGGGCTCTGAAGGCTGCAGAGGAAACAGCCCGAGATTTAGAAGATATCACCATAAAGCTATCGAGCTTCTGCTGCGATGCACATGCCATCTGGTAAACAGTAGGTTATGAAACCTTACCGAATATGAGGCCACTACTTTTTCCACTGCCACTGGTGATCTTTCATTGTCAAAAGCTCCAATACTCCACCTACAGACCCTCCCTTCATGGTGAGTCCAACGGTCACCATGGAGGTTTTGCTCCATGCGGTGAGCTGCTACTGTCAGTCCAGCTTCTGTTGGAGATGCCTTAGATAGGCCCACTGGGGAGGTTCTCCACACGTTTGTTCACACTGCCTCCTCTCCTTATGGCAGGCCCATGGCACCCTCCAAAGCATCCTCATGTCTATCAGGATGCTGAGGAGAACCACAATTTTCATTCGAGGGCTCAGCTAGTATGAACGAGTTGTACGTGGTGAAGTGCAAAGACCAACTGGACTGGGAGTCAAAGACCCTGAGTAACATTTTGGTTTGGTTTTATAATGGAAACTCTCTGATTTTTGCTATCCTCATCTGTACAATGAAGATAATAAAGTCTATCTCACAGGGTTATTATGACATGAGCCTTGAGTAAGACAAGGTGGGATAGAACTTACGGATATTTGGGGCACATTACAAAAATGAAGCATAACAAATATCTTCAGGAGGCTGATATATTTGTTCTTGCAAGGCATTTTCAAGAGGAAGAGAGTAAAATAAATGCAGTTCTCATTAATAATATAGTTAGATTGTGAAAAATATATAAGCCTTTTTTAATAGAAATAACTTTTAATGGAAACTACTGTTAGATATTAGAATCCTAACACTATATTCTCTCTTCAAAGTGAGATGGCAAAGCATGGCAAAGCAAAGAATTACC